GGATCATTTTGCACTGCACATCTACGCATCCAACTTCCACTAAGCACAACATAATTCGTAACATGTTCCATAGGGCTCTAAACAACTCATCAAGTAGTAAAAGGAAAGAAAGAGCATAAGCAAAATATGAGCTTTGTTGTTGGGTAACGGATATTTTCCGCAACTTTTAGGCAGAATGTTGGAAGAAGTAAAAAAAGTATCGAGTGCGTGGGGGATGGGTGGTGGGAGGCGGGAACACGTCCTATCGGAAGACGGATTCTTATCGCTACCTTACATAGATGAGCATTTGCCTTGGGAAATCGAACACATCGTTAACAAATCAAAACTGCGCGTGCGCATAGCTGGGACGAACGACAACAAGCTTAAAAAGTCTCTGGTGAAATCTTCCATCTTGAAGCCTAAATGTTCGGGTGGCAACAGATGTCATTTATGCAGTTCTGGGTTTCAAGGGGCTTGCACACAAACAACGTGATTTACGAAATCAAGTGTAAAATGTGTGAAAAACATGGGAGGGACGTGGTCTATGTCAGGAAGCCCATGCGCCCCATTCGTTTGAGATATAATGGACACCTGCGAGACGCTAAAAACAAAACAGGGAATACCCCTTTCGGTGACCATTTTTGGCAAAACACGCTCAGGCTGAAATGGAGGGCATCGAGGGAAATCGAGGCAATCGAGTATGGATCCTATGCCTCTTTTAGCTCAAAGTCACCTACACAGCACGGGACCACACAGATAGGAAAATAAGTGCACTTATTCTTATAAAAAGTCGGCGAACAAATATTAACGCACAAGGCTCATCATGGCCAATTATGCGAACGTGATATGTGCCTTTATGTGTGATGTGTGCTAGCTTGAAATCGTTTACATGTGTAAGTGATGCCTGACACGTGGTGTGCGATGCCTGTTCAATTGAAATCGTTTGCATGTATAGTTGGTGTGCGGTGTGTGGTGCCTGTTTACTTCAACTTGCTTGCATGTTCGAATGAAGCGTGATGCGTGATGCCCATTTGCTTGAACTCGTTTGCATGTACACGTATGTTCGGGCATTCTAACTCCTAGACAGGCACTGTGTCTTGGTAATGGCTGGCAATCGCTCTTTGTTAAATCCCCTGGATGTTGGTGTCCTGTAAAAACTATGGCTTGCTCTTCCAAAAACAAAACTAAAAAATTGAGTAAAACAAAACTAAAAAAAAATGGGCAGGATCATCGGCAGGCACTTTTGAATTCACTTTTGTTGCTGTTTCGAGAAAGGCATGTTGCCAAAATTTCAACCTAACTTTATCTCCATTCTTCTGGTTTTCCGAGGAATAAGGCTAATACAACTGTCTTATTTATCTGTGTGACTAATGTTCCTCGCTAATGCACTGAACAGCTCACGTAATCAACAATACGCTCACACATAGCACGAATCAACGGCCGCAAATTTCAAACGCACTAGGTCTCTCTTCCACTGGTATGTTAAGTTACGCAGGCTTACAATAAATGCAGGCCGATCGCACTCCTGCACTTCACGGTAGCAAAGGTGGTGCCAGCCCTTATCCGTAAACATTCTCGGTAAAACGTGTCAGATGACGTCTCGGGTCTAGCACTGGCATTGTGCTGCGTCGCCGACAGTGCCAGCGATCTGTTCTGGTCGGCCTGTGGTCACGGCTGCGTGAATCATGTATTTTACGATACTTGACAAGACTGTGGGCGTCAAGCCAAATAACGTACTTCAAGACGTTACTGTTGCCGCCGTGTTTTCGCCTGTCACTGCTAACTCTCGAACATCTTAATGTTAGCAATTTTTGTCTTTGTAAAGCTGCGTGACGTTACAGGCCTCTTACAGCGATATGCAGCATCGATCGTAGAAGCGACGACCGACACGCCCAGACAATGTTTACAAGAACAGATTTACGTACGGTATGTTTCTAGTGTGTCAGACCAATTACGATGCCCGTGTATACTTATGATCTGTCCCACGTGCGGCACGAAACCATAGTGGTTGTCGATAACAAAACACCTCATTTTGTCACAACTCTGTGATCAGGTATTGCAATGCCCAGGAAAATCAGCGCGACAGGTTACGAGTCTCCGAGCAGTGTAAGCGGTTCTTCTAAGCGGTGACTCGTTCAAATGCTTAGGTGTTGGTTGTGTTTAACGTAAACTTAACTTAAGCCATTACATCATGCGTTTTCTTGCCTACTTTTCCCACTTTTCCCAACAGAAATCACTCAAGGACCTGCTTTGGTACTAGATCTGAACTGTACGAAAATGGGGGGGGGGGAGGGGGGGGGGGCGAACAGGAGCAAAAATGTCAGGTCTGCCAAGATAATAAGTAGGTGTTATCAAGCATGTTTTCGTCATCATGTGATTATTCGTCATCAACCTTAGGTGATATATAAAACCACATTAGAAGCCGTGAAATGGCACAATCGTATGCAACAAAACAAACTTCAACAGCACATTTTATCGACTGTTTCCATAGGCCTGGTGAGAAATGATGGCGTTTTGTTGCCGGTTATCCCAGTTTTGGACCATATGAAATTAATACGAAATAAGGTCTCTGACAATGTTTATGTAAAGGGGACATGATGAACCGGATCATAACAAGGGCTGATTGATCAAAGGAATGTTCCACAGCGGTTGCATTCGGGCAGCACAGACAGCCACAGAATTAATCACTCCAGATATATCGTTCGTGTGTGAAAACTTAATGTGAGCTGTTAACTACCCCTGGGTTTAGCTATTACGCAATACAACTTCGTTTTGCTGCATATGGTGCATGGCTGTACATGTAGCCACAGCACTTGTGCAACATCACTTGTACACAGTGCCGACCTGTTGGCGTTGCCTGGATGACTACCTTTCCTGACTCAGAGATCCCTGAATACATCTCAATGCCTCCAGAGACTCTAGTATACTCTCCTATGGAGAAAATCCCATTCCCGATTTGGAGCGCATGACCTACAACGTACAGTCCCTGTCTCATATTTACCTGCCCTAATTGCCAAAATCTCCAGACAATAGTCAATTCCTTTATATTTCTCTGTGGTGTGGGAGATTCCTGATTTAAGGGATATGCCGGTTCCGGTTCTGCGATTGCGTCACTTGTGCAAGCGCAACGAATGCACCGTTTGTTTGCTCATCGAAAACGAAGACGATGAATTCAAGCACACTTGAATTAAATGGAAATTCAAATGGTATTAGGGCTATGCGCCTACCTTTTTTAGCCTGTTACAGTGCAGCCGATGTTCATTTGAACAAAGACAATGTATTTTAGTTGATATGATAGCTCGGTAACATTCAAGCACAAGTACTGCGTCGCTAATGCAACGAATTTGGAATCGAAAACGACCCCGCGTATTTGAGCGACAACGATTGGGAATCCGCACGATCCCTTCCACCTTGTTGGCCATTCCCCCTCCGCTAGCAAACCGCTCCGGAATGTCACAACCATCTGTCGACCGCTTGCCTCCGTTCCCTCCCCTTGATGACACCCACTCCCCTGACCACTGCCGGCGTCGAGTGTTACTCCATGATCGCTTCCCTCCATGTGGGTGATTTTAACCTCCGGTGGCACGTGGAGCCGCTTTTGTTCTACAATGGTACTCATTAAATTCGCCCCCTCTTCGGGTTACGCCCACCTGTCTACCACTTTGTTACCCACCCAGCGGGGCGCCGGACACGGCAACCTGGTGCTTACACGCAGAGTGTAAACAGCGTTGGAGACAAATATACATGACACCATTGCACTGGCCAGCCTCAAAACCCCCTGTGGAATATTTTTATCGTCCTCGTGATCATACTTTGACATATTTCCTGGGCTCGTGCGTGCGTGCGTGCGTGCGTGTGTGCGTACGTGCGTGCTTGCGTGTGTGTGCGTATTTTGTGAAAAATCACAGCGGAGTCAGCTTTTTTATGTTGCTTGATAAATCCGAGCGCAGCTTTAGCTTCTTCACGATGTGTATGTAAAATGGTACCAAAGCTCATGATGCAAAGCATATATGGGCTGCATACACGCAATGGAATAGATCTTATGTGCTTTCCTTTCCTTCCAGAAAAACGTGCAAGGTAATGGAGACATTCATCTCCGATAAATTACAGTGGCATTGCCCGGTAGGGCCATGAGATGACGACCTTTTTGAAGTCATATATCACCGTGACGTAGATGGCTGAGTTGCATTGAACTTCAGAAATGCCACGATGTTATTAACTAGCTTCTTAGACGAAATCGGAAGATGTGCTCCCCTTGTACAACAGGAATTTCCAGGAGTCTCCCTGTCTTTTAGAAAGCAACACGGGCGACGCCTACCCCAACTAGACAGGCTACCAATCAGCGAGCAAATTTGATTGCTTTGTTAAGCGCCGTGCATATGAACCGGGTGACTGTTTTCATCGTCGGTGTTTAAAAGCAATGCTACACTCGAGTTCTGCGCATACCCCTTACAGGAACTCAACTCTAATGAATGTTGCCAGACCAGGTACCTCCTGTCAGTGACGTCGATTGGGCCTGGAATAGGTCAGTAATGTGGCGTGTACAATAAGAATGCGCGTTCGGATCATGCATGGGAAACTAACTTAGGACACATGCTGTCAGCGATTCATCTTTTTTACCCAGATGTATTGACTGGATTACCATCAAATTGTGTTACCTGACTGCTTAAAATAAACACCTCCATGGCTTCTGGGATTCCGCTCGGCTTGGCACTGTATGTTCGCTGTTCTCCACTTTCAGAGGAAGCGATGGCGCCATATATTACCTTGACTAGTGAAAAGGTGGCATTTGCTTTACGTATTTTGCAGGGACTATTTGAATAAACCTATCTACTGTTTGGTAACGGCTGTATCTAGACCTAGGTGTAGCCAGACATCTCTGGACTGCAGAGACGATCACGGCCCCTCAGCATGCCACTGTCAGTCTGAGCGGTCACCTCCAGACAATCAGGGACGGGCACATGAACTGTAGCCGGTCCGGTGAGCCGTCATGACGCCTGCGCTGATGGCGGGGTACTCACGGATCAGGTCCCGCATCTGAGGGTCCAGCGTGGTGATCACGGTATCCATGGAGGTGCGCGCCCGCTCGGCCACCTTCGTTAGCACCTCACTCTTCTGGACAGTGTCCTTGAGCCAGCCCAGCCAACCGTCACCCGGATCGCTTCCGCCGGCCACCACTGCCGCCGGCCCAGCCATCGGCGTCTTCGCGTAGTCGACGGTGACCCCGCAGTCCGCCGGCGTGGCCAGCACACCACTGACAGGAGAGGAGGGCGTCACCAGGGCCGACGGCGTGGCCAGCACACCACTGACAGGAGCAGGAGGGCGTCACCAGGGCCGACGGCGTGGCCAGCACACCACTGACAGGAGCAGGAGGGCGTCACCAGGGCCGACGGCGTGGCCAGCACACCACTGACAGGACCAGGAGGGCGTCACCAGGGCCGACGGCGTGGCCAGCACACCACTGACAGGACCAGGAGGGTGTCACCAGGGCCGACGGCGTGGCCAGCACACCACTGACAGGAGCAGGAGGGCGTAACCAGGGCCGACGGCGTGGCCAGCACACCACTGACAGGAGCAGGAGGGCCTTACCAGGGCCGACGGCATGGGCAGCACACTACTGGCACGAAAAGGAGGGCGTCACCAGGGCCGACGGCGTGGGCAGCACACCACTGACAGGAACAGGAGGGCGTCACCAGGACCGACGTCGCGGCCAGCACACTTCTGGCACAAACAGGAGGGCGTCACCAGGGCCGACGGCGTGGCCAGCACACCACTGGAAGAAGCTGGTGGGCGTCATCAGGGCAGACGGCGTGGCCAGCACACCACTGGAAGAAGCTGGTGGGCGTCATCAGGGCAGATGGAGTGGCCAGCGCACCACTGGAAGAAGCTGGTGGGCGTCATCAGGTCAGACGGAGTGGCCAGCACACCACTGACACAGCGAGACCAGCATACCACTGTCGGAGACAGGAAGGCCGACGGAGACAGGAAGGCCGACGAAGGTCACCAGGGCCGACGGTGTGGCCAGCACACCACCGATAGAGACAGCGTGGCCAGCACACCAATGACGGAGACAGGATGGCACCAAGGCCTATGGCATGACCAGCACACCATTGACAGACAGCGAGAACAGCACATCACTAACGGAGACATAAGGGCGTTACCAGGGCCGATAGTGTGGTCAGTACATTACTAACGGAGACAACAGGGCGTCACCAGGGCCGATAGTGTGGCCATGACACCACTGAAGGAGACGAGCCGATGTTATATGGTGCGGCAGTGACGCTGGCGGCCGCACCTGCAGCTGAGCCTCAGTGCAGTGGCAGGGCTGGCAGCTGCTCACCTGTCGCCCGGCGGTGCGCCGTCGGCCGGCGGCGGGCCGGTGATGACGCCCGGTTGGTACAGCGGTGCGGGACAGGCAGCGCCGGTCGTCGCCAACTCTGCAACGGGGCCAGCCCTGCTCACCACCAGTCCTACCCATCGCCACGACACAGTACTGACAATTAGGTACACAATCATACGCTCCAAAGGCCTGCAGGCTCCGATTGGAATGGGCGTGAGGAAAGAACAGATATCGTTTTCACCATCGGCGTGGCCATGACGCGACGGAAGCTATCCGGCGCCGTTCCGCTCATAGCTAAACAACAAACGTATCATCTCGTGATATTAGAGGTGACACAGTTTTCCCATCACCAGGGTCTGGTGATGGGAATGGAGGTGATGTTTGGCTACCTGATGTCACAACGTATTGCTAGGAAAAAAAACTGGTACTTTAACAACAGCAGAGCACATCTATGTCTCATTCCTACACAGGTAGACAAGAGACAGGCTATACAACCAAAGCCCCCGCCACCTGGTCGTACACATGCGTGCAGACATGCCCGCAGTACGTACCTGGTGGCGCCACATATCTGGGCCGAGAGGAGTGTCCGGCAGCGGCAGCCGACAGTGGCCTGGCGCCCGAGCTGGTGGGCGGCGGGGCCAGCGGCGCCGCGCCGGCGGCGGACGCCGAGCTCAATGGAGCGGCAGCAGGTGCAGCCATTGGCAGCGCTGTTGCCTGGGTAACAAACGACGGCAGTGCCGACGGTGGAGGCACATTGGACAGTGGGCTCGACATCCTGAAAAATAAAATCCAATGGTGGTGATGGTGTCAAGACAATATTTCAGAGAGCAGACATTTAAAAAACAGTGATCAGCTCCTGAAGCTGACACCACAGGAGATTAAACAAAGTAGTTTCTAGGATCTTTCAATATTTCTGAAAGCCATCCCAAATTGCAAGTTTGCTATGCAATGGTAGAACCCCCTAAATAACTGCATGGGCAGGGCAGAGTGGGGAGCCAGGTCAAGTTGTCTTCCATCATTTTTCTCATCTCATTTTTATGCATCCTGGTGGGACAATTATAACCCAAAGAATCACCAACAGATGAGAAAAGCTTCTTGCGCAAAATGTCCCTTTAGCCCCAATTCATACAAGCACACATCAAATGATAGTGGGTAAATCATGTGCATTTTACAAAACTGCCTCAAATGTTCTGATTGCCTTTACTGTGCAGCTCAATGTTCATCACTTGTACAATAATGACAGATGGAAAACCTTATAATGCAATGCAGGCTGGAAGCCTTAATGGCATAGGGAGAATTAGAAATTGCCTGCATCATGTGTGGGAAAGCTAATTTATTTTAGGAGCAAGGATATGTGCATGGCATGATAAAGGACAGTGTTGCTAGCACACTGGCAATACTGCACTGGTGTAATTGGTGTAACAACCATGAAAGCTAAAGGGTGCCTCAAAGTTCACAAAATAGAACTTAGGTCCAGCTTTTGTCTGTAGCATGCATTGTACACTTCAAATGTCAAAAGTTCACAAAATAGAACATACATCACAGCTTTTGTCTGTAGAATGCATGGTATGCTTCCAATGTCATACTTTAAATCCAACTGTCCCCCAGATTTCAGTTTCACAAATCAAATTCCAATTTACCCTCCACCACACCCTCAGCTTTGGATGTGTGATAACACATCCAAAGCTGAGGGTGTGGTGATTGTTGATGATTGTCCTATGAGCAGGGCTATTATTTTGATATAGATGACACTGTACCTTGTGGTGCAGCCAGGCTTCTGCTCTTACATGCTTTGAAGTCTTATGTTTTCATATGCATTTACATCTAAAATACATATATTTCTACAATAATTTAAATTTTGAAGGCAACTGATTTGGCAGTTGCATAACCAGTGTCACAAAAAATACACATTTCCTGGCATAATGTATACCAGGAGATTTGGTACTCCAGTAATGTGAGTGGATTACATGGAATATCTGGTACTCCACCATGATGCAACAAATACGGTTTTTGGAAAAACACATTTTACCTCTCTGTTTCATGACAACATGAAAACTGAGGATGCGACAGCTGGGGAATTGCTGCTTCCATCACGAGCAGGATATTGATATCTACAAGAGTACAAATCTTGCACCCACCACACTTAGATGCCCAATAGCAAGCAGCCTGAGATGCCACCTAGGTACAAAACAAATCATGTCTGGATATGTGAAATGTGTGTAAATGTTAAATGGAATCGCCTTCATACAATGACGCAAAATGAAGAACAGGTAGCAGAATCACACCCGTCTGTGAACTGGCAAAGCTTCTACTTCCCATGTCTGGTGCACACCAACTCTAACTTGAACATGACTTAACTTACCATCGATGACAAACTGCATTAATTGCCAAGGGTGCAGGAAACTGATAGAAAAACCACACACCCAAGCACCTACCACAGACATCCCCTACTCAAACACCACCACTGCACTATGGTGATGCAAATGGGAGAATCACTCACAATTCAGCATCTGAATTGTGGTTATTCAATCATTCAGTGGCTTGCGCCCCCCTTCCAGCTCAGCTCCGAGGTTGAACATAGCAAAACTCTCCAATTGGTTTAATGATTTGCCTCCTCATGACAGATTTGTCAAGAGCATAAGTATTCTGCTCCCACTCACATCTTGAACAGATCTCATAAAATTACAAAGGAAGCTGCATAGGGATGATATCACTTAAGAAAGAGTATACAAGGACTTATTTACACTTGTCCAGAACCACCTAGTGGTTGGATATCTGCCCACTTACTGGTATTCTGAATACAAAAATGTAAGGCAGCTGGGAATTTGACTGACGTTAAATTTGTCATTTAGGGGTGTGAAATTAAGGCTGGCAATTCAAGCTTTACAAAAATATCCTTTTTAGTAAAAAGAAATGTTGCTTTAATAGCCAAAAAATTATTCAGATACAGCAAAACCACTAGGAGACCAATGACATCAGTCCATAACTTTGACCTCACAAATTAAGTGAAAGGATTTATTAGGACACAAAACATCAACCAACTGAAACATAAATTATCAAATTTGGCAATATTAGTTAAAGTGCACTAAAATCCATTAAAAAATTGTGTTATCCTCCAGAGTCAGTAAAGTGACGACTCATATCTTTACACCAGCCGGCCTGGCTCACACCTTTATGCCGGTCAGTCATGCATCGACTCAGTGTCTGGGTAAATGGGTGGAGTGGGCTAACTGCCTATATTAAGTACTGGGCTGGGATGTGCAGGGCCTCCTGTGTTCTCCAAGACTTGGAAGGTGGAGGGCATGACAGTTAATACAAAAAATTGTCCTCTGTTTGCAGCCCAAGATGGAAATGAGCCCAACCTGAAAGTTTGACAGCATACTTGCCAAATCCCCAGAATTGAAAAATGAATGCTGCTTGCTCATTACAGCTAAATCTTTTCATCATACCATACACAATTTTTTGTTTCAATGCACTCTGTGCCCAGGTCCAAGCCTGCTAACCAGCAGTTTATCTCACCTGTCATCTTTCAATGACACTCACTATCACAGGCACAGCCATGCATGATGGCTTTCCAAAACAGCTCATCCCAGTGCCTAGAAACCCTCACAAATTGATTCAGTGCAATAATGTGAGTGATGAGGGGGGACAATATTGAGACCTGACCTGAGGTCAAACACCTCAAAAACATGAACACAAAATTGTACATGCAAATGCAGACAACTCAAATATCAGTATATGTGCCTGATTATTGTGAAACATTCACCACTAGGTGCCCCATACCTGATTCTGTTTTGCAGTTCTCAGTTTGGTGATTCTGTCAGGTTAAAAGTACCAAATTTCACAAAGTCCAAAATTTTTGCTTGCAAGAACTTATAGCTCAGAACCTAGCAAATCAATTGTTGGCACCCCTTCTTCATTGGATGCCCCATACCCAATCCCCTGCAACAATTCCAAACTTGGTGACCACAGGTCAGGTCAAGTCATCAAATGTCACGGAGTCCAAATTCTCGCTTGCTGACTACTTGTAGCTTAGAATCTCTCACAGACAGCTGCCAATCCTTACCATTCAGTACATTTACCCTAAATCTCTGCTGAAGCTCCAAGTGCAGAGCCATTTATAATTATACCCTTTCCTATATGATTATTCCAAAGAAAAAAAGTAGCTTGGTCAGGCTGACTTATGAGGCTTAATTTTTCCTCAGCAAGGCGTTAATCACGATGACGCCATGCACAATTCAGCACGTGATTTTCACCAGAATACCTAAGGAGAAATGTAGGCAATTCGCTATCTATAAATAATTCTCCATCTGCTCCGTAGCTTCAAAATGTACAGCAGGCGTGACCATAGATTCAGCAAGGGAGCATTCACGGTAATTTTTTACTTGGGTACCTGTATGGCCGACGGAGGGAAGAGCTACGCTAGCTGCAGGGTTTCGAGTATTGTCGTGCGGGGCAAAAGCTGTGAGGCATCAGCTAACATTGTGACGTCACTGGAAATGGTTTTGCATCGATCGGGATCGGGGTTCTCTCGGGCCGACTGAAGGCCATAAGGCTTTTGCTTGTGATATGGTGTCACTGGTATTCGGCTGGGTATGTGACGTCACTGGTCGTGAGTGTATAAGGCTCTTTTGGGTCCACTGAATGCCGTAATGCATCAGCTGGCCATGTGTCGTCACTGGTATTCGATTGAACATCAGGCGCGGCCGGCCTCGTTCCATCTTTACTTTTCGTACCTGTCTGCCGCAAGCATTTGCGTGCCGCATAAAGGTTTGACCGAATTACCCCAATGTGTGACGTCCCTAATCATCACTTCATACGAGTGCACTTAGGCCTCACGACCACGGTGTGTCGTGGTCCGCGAAGTATCACCGGATAGCGTGACGTCACTGGTATTCGAATAAAAACTGGGCGCAACAGGCCGTGCTTCATTTTTACCTTTGTACTTGCCTACTGCAAGCATTGGCGTGCTGGATGAAAGCTGCCGAACCACCTGAGTGTGTGACATCACTGGCCATGAGTTCCAACGGTGCTTTTCGGCCAACTGAAGACCACAAGGTGTCAGCTAACGACGTCACTGCTATACGACTGTAAGACGTCAATGGCCGTGGGTTTCCACGGGCCCTATAGGACCGACGAAATGCCGTTAGGCATCAGCTGGCGATATGACGTCACTGGTATTTGGCTGAACATCAGGCAACAGGCCATGCTCCATTTATACCTTTCGTACATGTCTGCTGCAAGTATTGGCGGATTTTTTGTGCGGCCAACTGAAGACCATAAAGCATCAGCTAACGATGTGACGTCGCTGGCACTCGACTGTGCGTGTCGCTGGTCATGAGGTTTTACGGCCTCTTTTGGGGCGACGAAAGGTCATACGGCAATGACTGAAGATGTGACGTCACTGGTATTCGAATGAACTTCGGGCGCGACAGACCATGTTCCACCTTTATCTTTGGTACCTGTCCATTGCAAGCATTGCCGTGGAAGGCTCTGCCAAATTACCTAAGTGTGTACGTCACTGACCATTAATTTGCACACTCTTTTGAGCCTACTATAGGCCACAAGGCATCAGCTGACGATATGATGTCACTGGGTTTCGACTAGACATCATGCGCAAACAGGCCATGCTCCATCTAAGCCATGTTTCGTCTGTACCTTTCGCACCTATCTACTGCAAGTATTCGCGCGACACAGGGGCTCTGCCGAATTACCTGAGCGTGTGGTGTAACTAGTTATGAGTTAACGCGGGTTTACTCTGGCTGACTGAAGGACATCAAGCATCAGCTGACGATATGACGTCACTGGTATTCGACTAAACTTCAGGCGCGACAGGCCATGTTCCATCTTTACCTTTCGTACCTGTCTCTTGGAAGTATGGGCGTGCTGAATGAAGGCTCTGTCGAGTCTCCTGAGTAAGTAACGTCACTGGTCAAGAGCTTTTTACGGGACCTTTTGTACCCCCAAACGGTATAATGCATCAGCTGATGATATGACGTCACTGGTGTCCGACTTAACATCAGGCGCGACAGGCCATGTTCTATCTTTACCTTTCGTACCCGTCTATTACAAGTATTGACGTGCTGAATGAAGGCTCTGTCGAGTCTCCTGGGTGTGTAACGTTACTGGTCATGAGTTTTTTCTGGCTCCTTGGAACCCTCTATAGGGAAAAATGCATCAGTTGACGACATGATGTCAATGGTGTTTCGACTTAACATGAGGCGTAACAGGTCATGTTCCATCTTTGCCTTTCGTGCCTGTAAAGTATTGGTGCGTTAAATGATGGCTCTGCCGAGTCACCTGAGTGTGCGACGTCACTGGTCATGAATTTTTACCAACTATTTTTGGCTGAGCGAAAGCCATAAGGCATCAGCTAACGAAATGACGTCACTGGTAATCCACTGAGTGTGTGACGTCACTGGTCATGAGCTTTTACGGGCCTTTTTTGGCCGAGTTCAGGTCATTAGGCATCAGATAACGTTATGGCGTCACTTGTATTCGAATTAACATCAGTTGCAATAAGCCATGTTTCATCTTTACCTTTCGCACCTGCCTACTGCAAGTATTCGTGCGCTACAAAAAGGCTCTGTCGATTCGCCTGAGCGTGTGGTGTAACTGGCCATGAGTTTGTGCAGGTTTACTCGGGCTGACTGACGGACATCAAGCATCAGCTGACGATATGACGTCACTGGTAATCGACTAAACTCCAGACGAATCATCTGAGTGGGTGACGTCGCTGGTCATGAGTTCATACGGATTCACTTGGGCCGCCCAAGGCTACAAAGCAACACCTCCCGTGAAGCATCACAGGATGATATGTCGTCACTGTTATTCGACGTAACATCAGGTCCAACATGCCACGTACTTTCTTTACCTTTTGTACTTGTTTATTAAAGGTATTGACGTGCTGAATGAAGGCTCCGTCGAATCTCCTGAGTGTGTGACGTCACTGGTCACGAGTTTTTTACGGGCTCCTTTGAACCCATTTTAGGTTATAATTCATCAGCTGACGACATGACGTTACTGGTGCTCGACTAAACATCAGGCGCAACAGGTCATGCTCCATATTTGCCTTTCGTACCTGGCTGCTACAAATATTCGCGTGCTATGTGAAGGCTCCGCTGAATCATCTGAGTATGTGACGCCACTGATCATCAGTTGGTAGGAGGTCACTTGGCCACCTACGGCTACGGAGTTCCGCAGCAGAGGTGGGAGATGCACCATAGTTAAGCACACTAATTTTATTGTGCGCACCATTAAGTAACAACTTCAAACGCAACGGGCTGTTTCAACGACTAAAATTTTGAACAAACGTAAACACAAAACAAAGGTGATCCCAGCCCACAAACCGACGTATATGCAAAGCTATTCCGCCCGACATCACAGGATGCGCCCCTGAGCAGCTACGGTCCGGAATGCCCTGATGGCTAAATAATAATCAAGGGCGCCGCCTAGCGGCCATAAGTCTGGGCCACAGCCCGAATATCAGTGACGTCATATGGTCAGGTGATGCTTGATGTCCTTCAGTCAGCCCGAGTAAGCCCGCGTAAACTCATGACCAGTTACACCACATGCTCAGGTGATTCGGCAGAGCCTTTATGTAGCGCGCGAATACTTGCAGTATAGAGGTGCGAAAGGCAAAGATGGAACATGACCTGTTGCGCCTGAGATTAAGTCAAATACCAGTGATGTCATATCGTCAACTGATGTCTTGTACCCTATAGGTACAAAAAAGCAGCCCGTAAAGAACTCATGACCAGTGACATTACACACTCAGGAGATTTCACAGAGCTTTCCTTAAGCATGTCAATGCTTACAATAGACAGGTACGAAAGGTAAAGACGAACATGGCCTGTCGCGCCTGGTGTTAAGTTGAATACCAGTGACGTCACATCGCCAGATGATGCTTGATGTCCTTCAGTCAGCCCGGGTAAACCCGCGTAAACTCATAACCAGTCACACCACACGCTCAGGTGATTGGGCAGAGCCTTTATGTGGCGCGCGAATACTTGCAGTAGATAGGTGCGGAAGGTAAAGATGAAACATGACATTGTATCTGATGCTTAATTGAATACCAGTGACGTCATATCGTTACCTGATGCCTAATGGCCTTAAGTCGGCCCAAAAAGGCGCGGGAAAACTCATGACCAATGGCGTCACACACTTAGTGGATTACCAGTGACGACATATCGTTAGATGATGCCTAATGGCTTTCCCGGCCAACAATAGCCTGTAAAAACTCATGATGACGCACTCAGGTGATTCGGCAGAGCCATCATTAGGCTCGCCAATACTTTAACAGGTGCGAAAGGCAAAGATGGAACATGACATGTTGTGCCTGATGCTAAGTCGAACACCAGTGACATCATATCGTCAACTGAAGCATTATACCATATAGGGGGTTGAAAAGAGCCCGTAAGAACTCTTAACCAATGACGTGATATAACACGCGAATGCTTGCAGTAGACAGGTACGAAAGGTAAAGATGGAACATGGCCTGTTGAGCCTGATGTTGAGTCGAATACCAGTGACGTCATATCATCCCGCGATGCTTTACAGGATATGATGCTTTGTTGCATTGGGCTGCCCAAGTGAACCTGTATAAACTCATGACCAGTGACGTCACGCACTCAGATGGTTCAGCATCACCTTGATATAGCACGCGAATGCTTGCAGTAAACAGGTACGAAAGGCAAAGATAGAGCATGGCCTGTTGCGCATGACACCTAGACGAAAACCGGTGACGTCATATGGTCAGCTGATGTGGTATGGCTTACAGTGGGTTCAAAACAGTCTATACAAATTAATGGTTAGTGACGTTACACACTCAGGTAATTCGGCAGACCCTTCCTTCAGCGTTCAAATACTTGCAATGGACAGGTACCAAAGGTAAAGATGGAGCATGGCCATGGCCGCCTGAATTGTATTCGGACACCAGTGACGGCACATCTTCAGTTAATGTAGTATGACCTTTCGTCGGCCCAAAAGAGGCCGTAAAATCTGATCACAAGTGACATCACGCACAGTCGAATGCCAGTGACGTCACATCATTAGGCTATGCTTTACGGCCCTCAGTTGGCCCCCAAAGATCCATAAAAATGCATGACCAGTGACGTCACACACTCACGTGATTTGGTAGCTTCTATTCATCACGCCAGTGCTTGCAGTAGACAGGTACGAAGCTAAAAATGAGCCTTGACCTGTTGCGACCAATATTTAGTCGAATATCACTGACGTCACGATACCCGGTGATATTACACGGAACATGATACACCGCGGCCGTGGGGCCTAAGTGCACTCGTATCAAGTGGTGATTGGTGACGTCACACATTCAGGTGATTCAGTCAAGCTTTTATTCGGCACGCA